CTGTAAAGCTAATTATAGTAGGAACCCCTTCTTCCTTGTTCTTCCTGCTGTAGTCACCATCAGAAAGTGTATTTGTTTTCTTTTGTCTAGGTACAAATCCTGGAGGAAGAAAGAAAAAAGATGATAATGTTATCCTAAGAGCTATATTATTAATATTAAAATATTTAAGTGGTGGGACCAGCAGATGGTGTAATGGTTGCATTGCTGGACTCTTGTGTGGTCGACTATGGCTTGAGTCCCAGACCCAGCAGCTTGAAACTCATGCCAGGCATGTGTGTGTGCATGCCCAGAATCCTGAGAGGAGAATGAAGGAGAAGGGATTGTGGTGTGGCTATCCCCTTAGGGGATGATTTCTCACTTTCTGTCTCTAATGAGCATACATGTCCTATAGCAAAAATCTCTCTAAATTTTATTAAGTGGTAGAAAGAAATTGAATATTATTTTTTGATTGAAACAAAGTCCCATGTTATATAATAGTTTGTACCCCGTCCTGGTTTCGTCATTTATATGTGCCTGTTTCCTTCTCATGAGTATTAGACTTTATGTTGAGTTCTTGACTATGAGTAAGACAGTTTAGAGTGTGTGTGTTTTTAATTCTGCTGTAGGATATGTGCACTTGCCACAGACAGAGAGGGAAAGTGAGAAGACAATCCCCAGGGGAATAGCTATACCACAATCCTATCTCTTCCATTATCATCTCAGGATTTGGGACACAGAAGTCCACTTGTCCCACATGTGTTCAAGCTGCTGGTTCCAAGATGTGAACTGTGCAGTCAGTCACATAGGATCCAGCTGCCCAACTACCATGGCACCTGGCTGGCCCTAAAAGTGTTTTTAAAGGCTTTTGCATAACTCATAATGTGGAGGAAATCATTCTTCAAAAGAAAAGAGATGACCTAGTATATTTGGCTGATGATATGGAAAAAGGATGATAGCAAAGGTTTATGTGTGCTCCGAAGTGGCCAGATCTAATAGATAAATAATAATACTGATATCATAATATTAATAATATTTTCAGCCAGGATTATAAGTTTGTGAATATCCAATTTCTCATTGTTTTCCAAATAAAGATATTGTTTGTGATAAAATGCTTGTAATCGTGCCATATTTGAACACTTATAAGAAAAGGCAGAAAGAAGATGAAGGGCAACATACAATTATGGAAAGAGAAATTTGTTGAACATGAAGAAAGTTAACTTCCTGTTGGGGTTTGTTTTTCACTGATATGCATTCATATTCTTTCCATCTTTATTCAGTAAGGCTGTTGGGCAGAAACGGTGGCCTTTTCTAACTCTAGCCAGACTTCAGCATGATCTGTTTTGATGTTAATATTGTTAATATTCTTTCTCTTCCAGACCATTTAGATTCTATTTTTTGCCTTTATGGGTCTTCCAAAGGAAAGATTAACATCTCCAAATGTTTGTAACATAAATAAGAAATTGATTACTTTAAACCAATGGTTCACAAAGAAAAGAGTTATACAGAGTGAGAGTAGGACAGTGTAGCCAAGAAGGGGATGGTCCTTTAATGATATGTAAAGATGTTGAGATGACATGTGGGACTAGAGTCCCTGGTACTCTGTCCATTCCTGGTAGTTTTTCTGTTTTAGAGCTTCTGATAACTTATACCAGGTCACCTACTCATAGATCAGTTTGAGAACATGATATCATTAGCAATAAGGAGTGGTGAGGTCAGTGACTGACTGAACTTTAGACAATAAAGAAAATGTTCATGTTGCAGCAGGACAGTAATGATGACACTGAAGATGTTTCACTGTTTGATGCCAAAGAAGAGGTAACTAATAGACCAAAAAGAAACCAAAATCAGACATCCAGTGGCATAATTTTTCCATTTATTCTTTTGAGTCAGTAAAGTCATAGTCTATCTTCTGTGTGAATTGCTCAGCAGCAGCCTGTATGGTGACAGTGACAATTATCTTGTTATTATCATGTGGCTTTTGGGCAGTGAAGAACGTCACAGGTAGACTAATGGTGGGCCTGTATTGGTGGAATCATATTGATGAAGATATAAAGAGCCATTGGGTGTTTGAATCCAGGAATACATCCCCTCAAGAGAATAAAACTGTTTGAGAGGCTGAATCAATAATCTTTTGGTTAGGACTTATTGCCTGTCCAGTGATATGGGTGGTTTTTGCCTTTAGTGCTCTCTTCTCCTTCAGAGTAAAGTGGTTGGTGGCAGTTATCATGGATGTTGTGCTACGAGGTGCCAACCATATGGTTATACCAGGTGTAAAGTGGGCAGCAGGAAGAATTTAACCAGTATGGCTACCTCGTGTATCTTAGAAGGCAGTTTTTAAGACAAAATACTGGAGATGATCAGAATTCCTAAATAGAAAACTTACGTGTTTTTATCACATTGAGAAACAACCTATGAGATTCTTGTCTGAATCTTTTAGAGCTCAGTCCATGTTGCAAAAAGGAGTGTCGGGTTTGTTTTTTCACTTAAAAACTATTTATAAAGAGGAAAAGTCGTTAAGTTTTTGTTTTCTTTCTAGCAGGTGGGGCTAGAGAGTATAGTGTCACTAGAAACATTTTCACAGTTTGTTTCATGGTGTACACATGTCTACACAAGCTCATGTGATACCAACATATCCCACATTAATCCAAGTGTGTGTATTCACTCATGCGTTCTAGAGACCTTTGCATTTTTATTCATAGAACATAGGAGGATGTTTTTAGTCTATCTTAAAGCTCTATGTGTTTATATATTATTTCTTGTAGATTATTTTTAGCAGTAAGTTTTGCTTCTATGGTAAGAGTGAACACTTTGACCTTATGTGTTGGAAATAATTGTTATTTTAAAATATGTACTTTATGGTGAAATTTCTTATACATAAGCAGGTAAGTGAAAAACCACATTTGGGCCGGTTTAACTAGCCCAAATTAACTAGTTTCTGAAATTTTGTTTATTTTTCTTTGTACCAAATAATTTACTCAAGACCCAATTAATAAAAATGCAATCCTAATAGTTTATGTGTATGGGATACCCAGAGGTTGCTGCTCTTCTATTTATTTTATGGAAAGGATAGCTGGACTTTACTTTGGAACTTCTTGGAAGCTATTCAGTGATTGTTGGACTAATAAAATCTATCTTTTTCCACTATGAGAGTATTATTCTTATGTCATAATGAGAATAATCATTTAAATACTTGGCATAGTAAATGCCTAACACATTTTATAAGTGTATTTTCTTTTTCTTGCTATAATGAGAATATTGTAAATCATACAGACTTTGTTAGAGTCTTTTGATCAGCAGATTATGTTGTGAATATATTTGTAAATTGTTAAAAAACATTTTAAGGATGTTTTGTTCAATTGAATAAGTATCTATTGTGTTGATAGCTTTGAGGGTGCATGACTTTATATTTGTATAAAACTCTACTGTTTACAAAGTGAAAAAAAATTAGGGAAAATGTTGCCACTGAATGTTTATTGATGACATAAATACTTACAGTTGTTGAGATTAAAGTATCATCCAAGAAATAGATATTGGGAATAATACATGCTTATTTCATTTTTTTGGAGAGGTTTTTGCTAGAGGGCACGTGTGTTCCCCAGAAAGACAGAGAGAGGCAGAGAGATAGAAAGCGAGAAATCACCCTCCAGGGGGGATGGCCACGCTGCAATCCCTTCTCCTCCATTCTCCTCTCAGGATCTTGGGCACACATGCACAGGCACCCAGCGTGAGTTTAAGCCACCAGGTCTGGGACTCAAACTGCAGTTAGCTACATGGAAGTTCAGCGACATAGTCATTCCCCTAACTGCTGGTTGCAGCTTATTTCTTTCTTTATTTTCCTTTTTTAAAAAGTTTGTTATAGGGCACATACATTTGCCAGAGAGATGGAAAATAAGAAAGCATCCACCAGGAGAGATGGCTATGCCGCAGTCCCTACTCCCCATTCTCCCCCTGGGATTTCAGGAACATATGCACACATGTCAGCATGTTTTTCAAGTCACCAGGCATTGAACTTGAACCATGCAGTTGGCCATGTGGGATCTAACCGCCATAACCACCATGCCACCAGCTGTCCCACAGTATGTACTTATCTTTTATTATTGGCTGAGACTTTCCCCCAGTGACTCTTTGACATTAGAAACACAGGCATGTTCTCTGTTACAAAAATAGTACTGGAGTAAGAATAGTATAGAAGCAGCAGCTTACAAGTTCATGTTAGAAAATGCCAGAGTGAGGCCAGCCCTGTGGCCTAGTAAAGGAGCAGGATCTCACATGGCCGACTGGGCTGTTCGAATCCTGACCCTGGCAGCTTGAAGAATACGCTGGGCATATGTTTGACAAAGGCATACATTTTTAAAGCTTTCTATATTTCTTGATATCTGATACTTGATTGTGATTTTAATTTGTATATCTCAACTCATAGGGCACTGGTTGTTCTCATGCTAAGAAGCCATTTTGCGTTTACAATTTTTATCCTAATGTAGTATATTTTGTTATCACCCAGTTTAAACCATTTTTGGAAACAAGCATATATGTTTGCATATGTAGAGTTTTTTATTTTATTCATGAAATTTACATACTCTACTAATACAATATTCAAACTAATATTTCAGTCCCTTTTTTTCTATTTGAAAATACTGTGGTGAAGAACTTTTAGGACTTGACGCTTTAAAATATTTAAAATTTGGAGGGGCCAGCAAGTAGCATGGTTAAGGCATTGGACTCCCACATGGCTGACTATAGTTCGAGTCCTGGATCTTGTGGCTTGAAAAATGTCAGGCACATGTGTGTGCATGCCCAACATCCCAAAAAGAGAATGGAGGAAAAGGGATTGTACTGTGACCATGCCCCTGGGGGTGGGGGGTGATTTCTCACTTTCCTTCTCACTGTCTCTCTCTCTGTCTCTCCATTAAGTGCATGTGCTCTATGGCAAAAACCTTTTTAAGAAATGGATAAAATATTTAAAAATTTTAAATGAAACAAGTCTTTTTCACTTTGTAATGCTTTTTGTTTATCCTTTTTAGATCGATTTTTCCACAGTGAAAAATGTGATTGCAGATAGATATATAGTGTCTACTTTGCAGAGGTGGCGTCTCAATGTGCTCCGTTTGAATTTTCGTGGTTGTTCTCTCCGACAAAAAACTTTCAGATCTGTCAGTAAGTATGTTCAATACAACTCCTCATCTTGCTTTTCTGTATCTTAATTAAACAAATATTTTAAAAAGTGCCAATAAAACGGCAACTTTAGTAACAGTCTTAAATCATAAGAATGCCAGTTTTAAACATTTAAAAACCTTATAGTATGATCATCTCTTACTGGTACATATGTCCCAGGAGTTGGTCCTTTGTCCATTCTTCTTTTTTTTTTTTTTTAAGAGAGATTTTTTTCTATAGGGCTTGTGCACTTACCAGACAGAGACAGACAGAGAGACAGAAAGTGAGAAATCACCCTTCAGGGGGATGGCTGCACCTCATTCTTCTCCTCTATTCTCCTTTTGGGATTTTGGGCATGCATGCACACATGCCTGGTGTGAATTTTAAGCCACTGGATTCAGGACTTGAACTGTGGTTGACTATGTGGGAGTCCAGTGACATAACTGTTATACCATCTGCTGTCCCTGTCCATTTTACATGTGTGTGTACAAGAACACATTCTCATAAAAACAAAAAAAAAAACCCTAACAATAGACATAACAAGTGTCTCATTTCACCTCTCTCAAGCTTATTTACTTATCCAATAGGTTACTATTTTATGTTTACTTTAAAATACATTTACATATCTGTAATTAAATATATATATATATATTTAAATTACCAGAGTATGCATGCACTCACCAGAGAAAAAGAGAAACATGGAAAGCACCTCCCAAAGGAGTGTGGTCATACCACAACCCTTTTTTCCTCTAATTCTCCATCCTGTCAGAATTTAGGGCACATGTGGTTTTTAATTCACCAAGGCCGATATTTGAACCACAGTTGCCAATGTGAGATCTGACTCCCTTAATAGCTGTGCTACAAGGCTAGTCCTGCAATTTTAATTTTTAACAAGAATGAGTTCTTATTATTTTATATTTTCTTTCATGTCCAGAAATCTTTACATGTTAGTATATGTAGATCTACAGTACTAAATTATTTTAAAATACTGTAAAATCATTTTATATTATAGATCAACTATAAATTTATTCTATTTTATATGTATTTAATCTTTTTATTATTGATGGACCCTGAATTTACTTCCATTTGTGTATATTCATTGTGAGATTTCTATTTAACCTATAAATCCTTTGAGATATACTTTTTACTTACCATATATATTTCTGATAATGAGAGAAGCAATATATTTCAAAAATGTATACATCCTGGGCCAGCAGGTGGTGTGGTGGTTAAGGTTCTGGACTCTCACGTGTCTGACCGCAAGTCCCAGATCTGGTGGCTTGCTTCCTCACTTTCCATCTCTCTTTATCTCTGGTCAAATTAAAATAATAATAATAAATATTAAATAAATAATCCTTTAACAAATAAAAAAGTATACATCCATACTGACTTTAGATAATGAGAAAGAATATCGTATACATGTGTTAGTATCAACATGGATAAGTCTAAAGATATTAAATGGTAAAATCAAGTTGCAGAATGATGTAATATAATACTATTTGTATAGTGTTTTTCAGTGTGCAAGATAATATGTATATATGTAAATTTTTGTTTTGAAATAATTTCACTTATATAGATATAGACACAAACACACACACACACCCCTCTATAGTAACATATAAAAAGCATGCAAATGTGTACAAAATGGAATACTCTGAATGGTTATTGTGGTGCCACAAAAAGTTATAGTTCTTTATATGATGTTATTTTCACCATGTATTGAGCTTTCTTTTTGGTTTAAATAGTTTTTCAGTTAGCTGATGCTCTTGAGTTTTTTAGTTAAACTATTATACCATTGGGAATATTGATAGTTTTATTTTACCCACTTCTAATCCTACATCTTATTTTTTTCTTCCCATTTTGTTACATTGCTTAGAATCTTTTTTTTTTTTAAGACTTTGGCCATAGGGCTCGGGTGCCTGCTGGAGAGAGATGGTAAGAGGGAAGGCGAGAAATCACTCTCGAGTGGGGATGACCATGCTACAGTCCCTTCCCCTCCATCCTCCTCCTGGGATTTTGGGCATTCACACACATGTGCCCTGCGTGAGGTCTGGGACTCACACCATGGCTGGCTATGTGGGAGTCCAGTGCTTTAACCACTATGCCACCTGCTGGCCCCTAGGACCTCTTTTTTAATATTTGAAAAGTATCAGGCCTATGCAGCAATCTTGTCTTGTTCTTGACTTTTTTAATATTTTAAATGGGAATAATGTTAATATTATTATTATATCTTTTAATTTCTGAGATATACTCTATATGGTCATATAATGATCTCACTTATAAGCAACTATTTCCTGTATATTCCTTATCTAGTGAAGTTTCATCTGAATTTTTAGTAACTATTAATTTCTGATTCTCCATGATCAATTCTTGCTTTGCCTTCCAGGCATGTTGTAGATTTTTTAAAAATAATTCATGTATTAGAATTTGGACAAAAGAGGGAAGCTGAACATGTGCTTAACCTGCCATTTTGAATCAGTTTCTTACTTTTGTTCATTTATTTATTTTTAATTGCCAGATTGCATGTGCACTTGCCAGAGAGAGAGAGAAAGAGAAAGCATTCTCCAATGAGGTATGGTTATGCCACAGTCCCTCCTCTATTTGTCCATCCTTTTGAGAATTTGGGCATGCATGCACATGTGTTCAGCATGTTTTTCACACCACTGGGCTATGATTCAAGCCATGGTTGGCCATGTGGGATCTTGCTGCCTTGATCAGTAGGCTACAGGGCCAGCCCTTATTACCTTTAGTAATAAAAATTGATAAAATAATTATAAATCTTAATGTATTAACCATCCAAACTTCCTGTATCTCTCTCTTCTTCTCTCTCTTTATGTATGTGTATACACACACACACACACACACACATACACACACATGCACACCCATACATGTACAAAATACTGGTTCCTTCCTCCTCTATCTCTGTATGTGTAATACACACACCTCCTCCCCCTCTCTATATGTGTACATACACATACACATGCACACCTACCCATGCACAAAATACTATGTGTACATACACATACACATGCACACCTATCCATGCACAAAATACTGGATCATAGGAAAAGTCATGATGTATTTTTTGCATAGAAAAACATGAAAAGATATGTTGTGACTTTTCCAATGTACCAATGAATATAGAATATATACTGTTAAATAAATCTATGTTTCTGAAGAAAGAAAATGGACACAAAATGCAACATTCAAAGTTTTTATTTGACCTAATATTTTCATAATAGCAATGGTAATTCAACAGTGGAATGAATTTCTAAGGAATGACAGACTATATGCCTCCATAGGTTTTATTTAATTTATTTATTTATTAATTGAGATAAAACTTACATAAAATAAATTTCACCATTTTTACCATTTTAAAGAGTTCAATTAATTGTGTTTTTTTTTTAGCATATTCACAATGTTGTCCAGCCATTATCTAATTCTAGAACATTTTAATCAACCCAAAAAGAAATTCCATACCCGTTCTATGTTCTATTTATTTTTCTTACCTAATTGCTCAGGCTAGAATTTCAATGTGGAGTATGCATGGTGAGAACAAATGCCTTGTCTTGTTCCTGATCTCAGGAGGACAATTTTCAGTCTTTTATCATTAGGATATTAGCTGTGGACTTTAAAAAACTGCCTTTGAATGAGTTGAGAAAGTTCTCTTATATTTCTACTTTGTGAGTGTTTTTTTTTTTTTCTTTGTGAGTGTTTTGATCATAAAAGGCTTTTGGATTTTGTCAATACTTTTTTCTGTAGCAACTGATATAAATTTTTTTCTTTAATTCTATGAATATTGCTTAAATTATATTGGTTGATTTTCTTTTTTGTATGTTGAATCATCTTGGCATTCCAAACAACCTCTCTTACTTGTTGTGTGAAATCCTTTTAATATGCTGCTGGATTCTGTTTTCTAATATTTTAAAGAGTTTCACATCTATATTTAGAAAAAATATTATGGTTTAAAGCTCATTTGTTTTTAGCACTGAATAATATCACAGTTTCTGGATGTACCACAGTTTATCTCTTCACCTACCAACGGATAGCTTGATCACTTCCAAATTTTGTCAATTATGAATAAAGCTGCTTTAAACATCAATGTGCAGGTTTGTTGTGTGGACATAATGTTTTCAACTCCTTTGGGTAGATACAGAGTAGTGTGATTGATGGATTGTATGGTAAGAGTATATTTAGTTTTGTGAAAAAGTGCCAAATTATATTCCAAAGTGGCTGTAGCATTTGGCATTCCCACTAGCAATGAATGAGAGTTTCTATAAATCCACATTTTTTCAGCATTTGGTGTTGTCATTTCTAGATTTTGGCTATGCTAATAGGTATATAGTGGTATTTCATTGCTGTCTTAATTTACATTTCCCTGATGATGTGTGATGTTGAGCATATTTTCATATGTTTATATCATTTTTGGTGAGATGTCTGTTAAGGTTTTTGTCCCATTTTTAAATTGAGTTATTTTATTACTCAGTTTTTTTTTTTTTTTGGAGAGATTTTTGCTATAGGGTGTGTGTGCTCGCCAGACAGACAGAGAGAGACATAGAGACAGAAAGCAAGAAATCACCCCCAGGGGGGATGGTCACTCCGCAATCCCTTCTCCTCCATTCTCCTCTCAGGATCTTGGGCACGCACGGACACGCGCCCGGCATGAGTTTTAAGCCCCTGGGTCCGGGATGTGAACCGCAGTCGACTACGTGGGAGTCCATCAACATAGCCATTACACTAACTGCTGGTTCCCATTACTCAGTTTTAAGAGTACTTTATACAGTCTGAATAATAGCCTTTTGTCAGAAGTGTCTTTTGGAAAGCATTTTCTCCCAGTCTGTGGCCTGTCTTTTCATTCTTAAGTAGAAGGTCTACTGGGAGGTTTGAGATGGAAAGGATGGGAGTGACATGAGGTTGTAACTTGTGTAGGGAGTACAGAAAGGGTCAGATAATAAAAATGCCCAAGTCAAATTCTCTACTGTGCAATTGGTATATTGATC